TCCCTTCACGGCGCGGAGGACCTTCTCTTCACGGCGCGGAGCTCTCCTTCACGGCGCGGAGGACCTTCTCTTCACGGCGCGGAGCTCTCCTTCACGGCGCGGAGCACCTTCTCTTCACGGCGCGGAGCTCTTCACGACGCGGAGCTCTTCACTTCACGGCGTGACGATGGCGTGAAGCTTGTGTCCTTGGCCCATGCACGCATCACATTCCATTTTAAGTTCGTACAACTTGGTTCGAAATCGAGTTTCGATTTTTCCATCATGTAACCAACTGCCTTCTCTATCCAATAATAGTTATTCACCAACCCAAAATATTTTTCCAACAATTCCTCGTCGGATCCTCAGACCTACACACCAATAATTAAAACAATACGGCAAAGAGGAGAAAAATACCGAAAAACACACAAAAGACTCGAACTGAACTAAAAACACATAATAAGACACAAAACACACATTAATACTAAAAGTAATGACATAAAACGGGGGTAAAGAACAACGAAAATATAAGAAAATCGACACAAAAATAGGACAAACACAAGCGTCTCCTTGATGCTCACAAGAGCTTTTTGGCATTCCTCGGTCCATTCAAAACGTTTACCTTTTTTGATTGCTTCGAAAAATGGTCTGCAACGATCTGTAGACTTAGAAATGAACCGGTTGAGTGCAGCAAGTCGGCCGGTCAGGGCTTGAACACCCTTAACCGAGGTCGGGGGAGTTAGATCTTGAATAGCCTTTATTTTAGCCGGATTGGCTTCAATTCCGCGCTGGCTGACCATATAGCCCAGAAATTTTCCAGATTCAACTCCAAAAGTGCATTTCTTAGGATTTAAAACCATGGAATAAGATCGGAGGATGGCGAACATATCTTGAAGATGCATTATATGATCGGAGGCGTGCACCGACTTGACGAGCATGTCATCAACATAAACTTCCATGGTGTGGTCGATCAGCGTAGCGAACATTTTATTGACAAGGCGTTGATATGTGGCTCCGGCGTTCTTTAATCCAAACGGCATCATAACATAACAGTACAAGCCCCGGACCGAATAGAACGAAGTGTGTTCAGAATCTTCAGGATCCATAGGAATTTGATTGTAGCCGGAGTAAGCGTCCATGAAACTCATCAACTCATGTCCTGACGTGGCATCAACCATATAATCTATGTGAGGAAGTGGATAACTATCCTTTGGACATGCCTTGTTGAGGTCGGAAAAATCAATACACAGCCTCCACAGTCCGTTGCTTTTTTTTACAAGAACAGGATTTGAGACCCAGGTCGGGTATTTGGCCTCCTTGATGAATTTGTTGTCGATGAGTTTTTTGACTTCTTCTTCCAATGCCTTCTGACGATCCGGCCCCAGCTTTCTTCTCTTCTGCACAACTGGCCGGACAGTTCGATCCAGGTTTAGCTTGTGGCTTGCGACACCGGGGTCGATGCCCTTCATATCCTCGTGCTTCCAAGCAAAAACATCAGAGTTGTGTTTGAGAAACGAGATAAGTTCCGACCGAAATGGCTCTTGGAGATGGCTTCCAATACGCAATGATTTGTGGAAGACTGGTTCATCAATATAAATCAATTCTATGTCTTCTCCAGGTTCGGCTCGATCACTTCGGCTTTTTTCTTTGAACAAGGCTCTGGGGTCCAACTCGTCTTCTTCAAGAAGTGGTTCCTTCCCAGGCCGGCGACCTCGGTCTTCGGTTAACGGATCCGAGGTAGAAGAATCGCCGACGTGGTTGTTTGGTTCTTCGGGTACCACGTCGTCTGAAGCGTGCTGCTGTGGGGAATCTTCATTATTTCCCATTGAAGTTGAATGAACTCCATTGGACGGGATAAACGTAACAAGTTCTCGAGCTTCTCTTTGGTCTCCGAAGTGGGTTCCCTCTCCTCGGGTCGTCGGGAACTTTAAGGCATAGTGAAAGATTGAAACCGCAACTCGAAGTTTATATAATGCCGTTCTGCCGATGATGGCGTTGTACTCATTATTGATATCCATAACCTTGAAAGTTTCCATGACAAGTTTGGTGGCATTCTCCGAAGTGCCGAATCGGACAGGTAAAGTGATCTCGCCGACGGGCTTTGAAATGCTTCCGTTAAATCGTTGTATTTGATCATTGCAAGGTCGAATCTCAGCGGGATCAAGACCCATTTTGTCAAAAGCCTTTAACATCAGAATGCTCGAATAGGCCCCAGTATCTACCATGACGCGATGAACTGGAATCCCGCATATAGGGACAGTGATAACAAGTGCGTCGGAGTGAGGATGGGCGAAGTGATTAGCATCCTCCATATTAAAGGTTATGGGACAGTTCCGATTATTGAGGATGTCTCTCAAATCTGTAGTGTAGACCTGTTTCCCGGAGTTGTGCGCTTGTCGGGCATAAGCCTTGACCTGTCGTCGGGATAACGTACCCCGGGAATTATTGGTGTTAACGCGATGGACAGTGATTTGCATCGGTATAGGAGATCGATCTCGTTTACGACTTCGGGGAGTTCTGGCTGAGTTAGAATCGGATGTTTCCGAGGTGAACATATACACTTCCTTATCTCCTTGTCGGATGCGTTTCGGCATGGCACCTCGGTCCTCTTCATCATCTTCATCAAAGGGTTCGATTTGACGTCCTGGACCTCGCCTCTGGGGATCAGCATTGCGGTAAAACTTTCTAAGTTGCGGATGGCCGATCAAACGCAACAATGCGGCTAACAAACTCAAACACTCGTCCGTGTTGTGCCCTGGCGATTTGTGGTAATCACAATACCGAGATTTGTCCAGTTTTTCTTCGGGCATCCGAAGTGGTTTGGGATCTGGCAGAATGCCTTTTCCTTTGATTTCCTCATATATGGTAGCTGCCCCTGCGGAGTACACGGTTTGATAACCGGAATTTACGTCGGTCGCATACTGTTTTCGAGCCGCTCGAACTTCTGGATCGTTAGGATCTCCCCGGGGAGGCCCCCTGAACTGAGTCTTGCCTTGTCTTTCAAAATATTTATGCTTCTTCTTCTCGTCGGTTCCCGCCTTGGGTGACTTCGGGTTAAAGTTAAAATCGGGGACCGACATGGCTTCCTCTGCTATAATGTGTTGTTAAGCTCGAGCGAGGAATTCTTGAAAAGTGTTCGGTTTATTTTGGCACAGAGTCCAGCGGAAAATTGAATTCGGTTTTAATCCAGCGATAGCCATGACAAGCAAGGTTTCCGGGTGGCAGGGTTCCATGTTTTGAACTCGGTCATTGAACCGGGCGATATAATCTTTGACACTTTCGTCATCTTTTTGAGTGACATTCGCAAGGGATTCTTTTGGGATAAGGCATACTTGAGCCCCAATGAAATGAGATTGGAAAGCCGACCTTAATTGTTGCCACTTCCAAATAGAGTGAGGAGGAAGAGAGTGA